CGAGGCCGGGAGGTCAGGCGGGGCGAAGGGCTAGGGCCGGGCCCGGGCGGGGGTGCGGGGGTGCGGGCCTGCTGGCTCCGGGCCGGGCGGGGGTCATAAGCCGGGGAGGGGGGAGAAGCCACGCGTCGACACCCGCCTCAGGGAGACTGGGGGGGGTCTGGCTCTGGACATGGGGTAGGGATGGTGTTCACACGCACACGTGTCTTGCCACAGAGGCGCGCGTGCGCGTGTGAATCTCTCGATCCTTCCCTTGTGGTGGGGGGTGTGTGTGTCTTTGTGTGAAGTTGGTTTACGGACTATACAGACCGGGGTAGGTGGAAGCTTTGATGTGGGGTGTGTGTATGTGTGTGCATGCGCCTTTGTGTGCCTGTGTGTATGCGTATGGAGTTAGTTTATGGAGTATACAGACCTGGGTAGGCGGAAGGTTTGATGTGGGGGGATGTATGTGTGTGTACACACACACACGTGTGCATATGTGTGTGTCTTGTCTTGTGAAGTATCCTCTGTACATGAGAGAGAGAGAGAGAATAATATAATGCATTTTGGAAAATATTTGGACTATTCACGGGTATAATGGCGAGGTGAAGGACTCAAACTGGTTGTTGTTGCTGTTGGTGTTTTAATGGATTGGTGGATTTAACCCTTCGGCAGGTGACACACTCCCGGCAAGGCCGTCACGGAGGTTAAGAGTCACCTATCATGAAACGCCTAGTTTGCGTTTGTGGGGACTGGCCTTGCGAAAGGAGGCCGGCCGCCTGGCCATGGAAAGGGGCGGTTGAGGTGTGCCGATGACTTTCATCCTGCTCCTTCCCCAAGGAACATGGGCTTGGGTACACCATCCCTTCCCCTCCTGCCCTCCCAGCAAGGTGGGCTAAGTTGTGCCCAGCCTGCCAAGAGCCACCTAGCGAGGGTTTGCGGTTGAAGGGGGAGGATCTGAATCTTAATTAGATACTATAATCCAGGGTTCCTCAACCTCAGCAACTTTAAGAGGGGTGGACTTCAACTCCCAGAATTCCCTAGCCAGCATCTGGGAGTTGAAGTCCACCCCTCTTAAAGCTGCTGAGGTTGAGGAACCCTGCTATAACCGGTCTTCCTCATTCATTTGAATTTGAGGACAATCACCCTTCCTTATTCATTTGAATTTGAGGACAATCACCTTGGTACGGTTGAAGATGGTCTTGGTCTGAGAAGGATTTCTGAATGTAGGGTCAAAGAAGATCTGAATGTTCAAGAGTCCACCTGTATCAGAGATGGACATCTGTTGGGTTTTGTTTCTATTCTTCTGGGGTGGAGCCCAGCACATTTTGGTGCACATTTCTTCCTCATTTCCCATCCTGAAATATGACCGGATCCAAACTTGCCTGGCTTCTAACCATCACCCAAGCTTGGCAGACTATTCAAAGCCAGCAGCTGATAAGGTTGGGAAGAGTTCTTTTCTGCTCTGTTCTTCCTAAGGTGGATATATCAAGCACAGGTTTCATTGATCTCTCTAGAGAATATCACAGTACAATAGATACTTCGGTTGCGCAAGTCCAAATTCAGCCTTCATCTCTTGGAAACAAATACAGCCTCTTCAAATGTCTCTGAAGCACTTCCAACATGAGACTTTTCCTTCTCCATTTTTGGGAAGTTAATTATTTTCCAAATTATTACACTGTAAAGGCATTTATAGAAGTGTAAATTCCTTGCTCACATTTTTCCACAGTGGTGGAGGAGAGGTTATGGCAGGCTAGTTAGTAAAGTACTGTTGGTAATAGATCAGAAGGAAAATGTTCATCTATTCTTCATGATTTATCTTTTCCCTAACATGCCTCCATTTGCTTAAAGATCAGCTCAGTTTGTTGCCATTTTAAGTGTCTGAGCTGGTGCATTATGTATATTTTGATGACTGTTTCTACTGGATTCTTAATTCTGGTTAGTGGCACTCCTGGACACCATTTTAGGGATCTTAGTATTATCCTTTAGTGGACAATCCCTGGAGTCTGGGATACTTTTTACACTGTGTTCCAGAGGACTCTGTAATTATTTAAAAACTTTTCAGATGTTCTTTCAGAGAACATCTGTAGTGATGACAACCCCTAATTGGATGACTTCAAGAGAACATGAGACAAATTCATGAAGTACAAGGCTATCAGTAGCTACTAGTTGTGATGACTATGCTCAGCCACCAGTATCAAAGGCAATATCATGTACATGTCAGTTAGGGTAAGCTGAGGAACATGCATGAGGGAGTGGTAGTCTATTAACTTTTTTTTTTAATAGCCTGCCCAAATCAAAAGATTCTGGGTAAATTACAACTCATTAAAAATTATGAGAAGCATTAATAAATCAACTCTCCCAAGATGGACATCAAGGGTTGAAGTCTTGATAAAGTAAAACTGTCTTCATGGTCTTCTAAATGCCATGAAGGAAGGAACTTTAATGTCTTGCTAATGAATTTCTAAGAGGTATCTGGTTGGCAACCAGGGAAACTAACATTGAACTATTTGGGGTCCTCAGTGAGGTCCAACAGAGGTCTTATCCTCTTAAGTGCACTATAAAAGCCAGCCTTTGCAACTTACTTTCTGCATCTTGAATTAGCATAAACTATAATTTACCCTTGTGATGTTTGAACAAATACTGTTATCTGAAACTAGCCTTTTTGGCTGATTTTGGCTCTAGAGTTGTATGAGAGTTGAATCTGAGGTTCTTAGTTCCTCTCTGGCTGAACTCTTCTGTAATCTTTCTCTGTCGCTTTCTTCAAGCAAAACGAAGCAACCTTACCAGGCAGCAGGCCTTTTCTTCCATCCTCCATTAGCAATATACTCATCTGCAATAAGATATATTTTAGTTCGGTGCCAAATACTCAGCCTCATAAACGCATGCATAGTCCTATAAATCAAACTGTCTGCACTTGGTGGGATAAAATAGTCTAGCTGTCAGTTGCAATGATGAAAATAAAAGGCAACTGGTAACATGATTTGGAAGTGAAAATAGTTTGTTCCCACTCCCTACAGGAGCAGTCATAATTGCCCTGATTCAGCCAATGCCGTTCACATGTAGCAACCTCAGTAAAGCTTAGATGGATTCCACGAGCTGCTTGGAGATTCATACACATCCTGAAATATTTAGTTTGTGGATTTCCCCCCCCCCCCCCATCCTCAGTTTTACCATCCAGCCTGTAGGAGCCTAAGCAAGCCCCCACTCCCATTCTGAGATGGTGCCAATGTGACTTACATAAGGATTGGCACTCAGTGAGCTCAGAATTATATGTGGCAGATGTATGTGATCTCTAAAAAAACAAGGAACTATTTTTAAAAAAGGAGTGTCATCGTGTGTGTGTGTGCGTGTGCGTCTGTCTCCAGAGTGTGATGTAACTCAGTTATTGTTTTCTTTCTCTGCAGCTACTGTAATGATCTCCAGAAATTCTTCAATTGTCCATCAAGTGGGCTGGAACTAAACCGAATTGCATGCTGTAAATAAATCACTGCAAAAGCCTTAACAATGTGTAGTCTGTCTCTTGGCTCCCAGCGGTACTGATGGAGAAAAACTGGACTCAATAAGGGCCCTTGGAAAGCTGTTCTTCCACTGGGGAAGTATTTCCCCTGGACCTTTGCTATATCAGCCATGGACTCTTCAGTGGTCATTGTGGAAAAGGAAGCCAGCAATGGTACCCCCTGCAGTGCTGGACAGCAACCAGACCTGGAGGCCAAACCTAACTGGACAATGGAAGGAGAAGACCTCAACTGTAAGCAGTTCCTTTGGATATGGTTTTTCTTATTGCTGTGAGGACTCTTGTTACTGCTGTTTGATTGTAATGGTGGAAGATTCATTACCGAAAGGTCAAGGTGGTAACCCTTCCCTGAACTTTCCTCCTAGCAACTAATTCAGTGGTATCTTTCATAGCTAATGCCGTAGAAATACCTACCTTTGTCCATGTGTTTGTCTACTGTGGCACTCACTGGATGACAGAACTCCAGACATGAGTTTCTGTCCTAGGAGTTTCTTCCACTGCTTATTTGATTTTTCCACCCACCTCCCCCTCTTCCATCTTCCCTTCTCTCTGGAAAAGGAAAGAACAAGGGTATTAGATCAGAATTGGGGGCCTTTAGTCAAGAAGACCTCTATCTTGGAGTCCAGTCCCCTCCTGCACATCTTAAATCATTCAAACTAATAATATGAGTTCTGGGCGCTTAAGGTTCAAACCCACAGAGCACACATATTGGCTCCGTGGAGGTGACTCTCAACCAGTCTGCCTGAAGAATGGAAGTCAGATGAAGATAATGTTAGAACCAGGCCACAGGGCAGCATCATAGTATCTGTTTTGCACCAGAAGGTCCCAGACTCTCCAAAGGGAGATAGGAAGAACATCTGCCCAAGAGATTCTTCTAACGTTAAGGTGGATGATGCTAAACTACATGGACCTGAAGCAAGAGAACTCTGTTTCCTCTGCCTTGTGAGGTTTTAGAAACACCATGCAGATGGGAGAACTATATGTCTGTTGAACCCAGCAAGGGGAGGGATGGGGGTTGCATCAGGGATGTTTTAGGCCAGCTTGATGCATATGCCACTCTCATCTTGACATCCAATATGTCGGGGGATACCAGACTGGAGAGGATTGCTCTCTTCAGCACCTTTTGTGTCTAAAGCAATTTGTATTGGGTGTTCTTGGGCTGTTTTCTCAGTGGCTTCTTGAGCATTATGAACAGGTAAGAACATGGCGAGAGCAACATTCAGTTCAGCTCAAGGCCCAGCTCAGCCTTTGCTTTGATCTCTACCCAGCTCCTGCCAGATGCTTTGATCTCTCCGAGAGGGCATGGGAGTTTTAGAGTGGCGGTGCCAACCGTCTGGAGCGAGAGATGGGGGAGCCTGTTTTGTTACCTTCAGGATATCCTGGGAACAGGGAGGTGGGGTGGGGTGATCTTGCTGTCCCTACTTGGGACCAAACCCACCGTTAACCTCTTCCCAACTGATGTTCTTTTTTCAGCGGTTAGTGTAAATAACAGCAGAGTGCCAACCGAAGGAGACAACTTAGCACCAAAGAGCAGCCAGGAGCCTTGCGCAAATGGACCGACGTCTTATTGCCCTGAGCGGCCCATGCCTTTTGACCCCACCGACAGCTCCCGGGGGGAAGAGCCAGCTCCAGGTGTGCTTGGTTTCCATAAGCACCTAAAGGCATCTCAGGGCGGTAGCGCTCAGGGCTTAGCTGTTAGAAAGGACGCACTGCAGTCTCTCAAACTAAGCCTCCCCTTGCAAGAAACTGAACTGTGTAAGCATCTCTTTATGGTGGAGCCCACCTGTTCTTTCTTGCTCCACCCCAAAGAAGTTTCCCCCCACCTATTTCTGCCTCTGCCTCTGCAGAATCTCTTCTGAATGCTGCTTTCGAAGCTTGAATGATTCTTATCCTTGGCATCACCTGGCACCTCTGACTTTGCCTTTAACCAATTGGCTTGCTTTCTTTGCCTGGCAGGTTTGAATAAATGTTGCCATTGCAATTCTCTTAAAACAAGGTATTCCCCCTGCCCCACCATTGATGTTGTCACCAACCTGTACACGCTGGTGCAGACTAAACGTTGACAAGGCGGAACATGGCGCATTTCAACAACAGCAAAATATGTGGTAGTTTCTTAATTGTCGATATTATGGGGACCTGCCCTTTAAAACAAGCATTCACTGGCTGTTTTTCAAAATCTAGATCCAAGTAGCAACGACCTGGTACTGATCTGGGACTGAAAAATAAATTTGATAATATCTACCGTCACCACCCAAATAGCAAGTAACAAAGCAGCTGGAGTAAAATCTCACTTAAATTGGCCTGGTTTAAGGGACTTGATAATACGATTGTGTTATTTTCTTGGCAGTGATATGGAAGTGGTTTGCCATTGACTTCTCAGATATCCTGGTGGTCTCTTACCCAAGTATAAGCCAGACCTGATCAGCAGTCATAATTGCCCTGATTCAGCCAATGCC